TTCAAACTATAATTTTTGTTAGATCCTTGCCTTGCCTTGTCTAAAGCCCCTGAATCCCCCCACAATAATTTACTGCTTCAAAAGGTGCTTGTATTCTTTTCCGGTGTAGACTATTTGGGTGCTTTGGTTTCCACAACACAACAATTATCTTGAAACAGCCATTGCCATAGCAACAGTGACAGTTTTGGAGCGATACTGTGAGAAGTGGGTTGTTTTCAGGGGGTTTGGACAAGGTTGAGGGTCATTGAAATGGACACAGGTCTTATATGGTAAATGTCATGGGCAGTAGCTGAACTAATAAGGGTTAGATATAGAATGGACCCTTCAAGCTTTTCCAGGAAGGGTATTGATTTTGCTGTGTGCAGCTGATGGGCAAGTGGTGGATCAGCAGCAGAAGACAATGGCAGGACTGAGCTCTAATGAGAACAGGGCGTACATAGGAAGTGATGACATAGAATGGCGGCTGGCAGAGTGTGTAGGATACCATATCTGATCCATGTCTGCTCTGCTCTGCTCTTTTAATAGTGGGCTGAATAATGATTTGGGAAGACGGTTGGCAATTAAGAGAAGATAAGAAGAATAGAGGGGAGGGAACATGCTTCTGATAGCTGTTGCTTGTGATCAATGTCTTACTGAGATGCATGTTACATATCGGGGCTCCATCTAATCAGGTTACAAATGTTCATAGTCAAATGAGAAATGTCATGCACTGGAAAACATTTAGATGACTTGACATTTTGCACCACATATTCTACATATATTCTCCGTCGCAGAGAACGTATCTACTGGGAATTTACATCCTCGACCACAAAATATTTAAGAAAATATAAGAGATGTATAGTCATGCATTCGATGGCAGCATGCTTATATATTCATCCTCTATTAAACCACATTGCGACTGAATAAATATAATATTCCCAGGTCTCCTTTTTTGCCTCCTCTGCATATACCCTGGAGAAATAGGCAGACATGCAGGATCAATTTTTGAAAAGTGTTTGTCAAACTGCTGTCACAACATATTTTCTGGTGAATATTTGCTTTATCATCAGTCTCTGAGACTGGCACTCCATTCTTGCCCTGTGACTTTTGAATGTCAGAATATTATGATGCATGTGTCTGCTGTGCACAGGCATTGATCGGGCACAGTTAAACCAGAGCTATAGATCAAGCTTCAGCTTGTCCAGTGGCGAGTAATTGCTCTATATTGCCAATCTTCGATCAATAAGCATCTAACATATATGAGCTTAATCTCTCTTACTATGCATTTTTTCATTTCAAGGGTCTAGTGACACTATGTTGGGGCCATATGTGTTTTACTATTATTCAAAAACTTTTTAAAGTCTCTTTAAAAATGCATAATTTCAGAACAATGAAGCTGCAGCAAAAATGGGTTCATCAAAGTGCCAAGGGAAAAGATCAATTTCAGCTATGAGAAAGGGAAAGAAAAGAAAGCTCGATTTCGAAACAGAAAATGTCAGGCCATCAAAAAATTATGAAACATAAAATGTTCATTTAAAGCTGCCACTTAAGGCCCGTTCACACCAAGGACGATAACTATAAAGTTTTAATAATCAATCTATTCTATAACAGACAGAGGAACGATGTCATTGGAATCACTTTTAGAACTATTTTTTTCCAGCTGATGAACGATAAAAAAAAAAAAGAGAGCCAATCAGAATCTCGGCTTTAAAGAGCTCGGGCATACAGCCAGCATAATGGCAGCACACACTCATAATGAACCAAACTTTATCGTCCATTGGTGTGGACGCTAATATAGTTATAGTTATTTTTATAGCTGTTCTTGGTGTGAACAGGCCTTTATAGACCTGGTTCAATTATACATTGCTGTTGTATATTTTACAGACACATATTTTGTTTCTTAGTTTTTTTTTGTTTGTTTTTTAAATAAGCCATATTAATTATAATTTTAACTATATTAGTTTCCACTTAGTATGTACATCTGGCCATATCATGGGCCTAAGTCCTTGAGGAATTCTATAGATAAGTTAATAGATAAGTAGAAAAACTATTGGATAACAATGTCTATTAGCTGCTCAGCATGTCTTGCATTATAAAATTTGTTTGGCTGAGATATCTGGGGGGAAAAAGAATATAAGCACACAGTAGGTTGCCATTGCAGAGTTCTAAACACAACGTAATGTAGATTATTAGCATACTTGCAAGGAGATTGCTGTGTAGACAAGTGACACTGAGACTTGTAAAATAGCGGCTGCGCTATAACACTGTTTTGTCTCTCGGGTAAAGCGTTGACTTTTGTCCAGGCAAAGATTTTTTTTTCAGTCTATATTAACAACATCTTGGAAGTAGGTTCAAATTACAACAAAATCAATTTCCATTCAGTGGGGACCCAAAAATAGAAAGATCATCATTTTAAATGTTTAGAGAAGAATAAAACCCTTTAAATACGATTAAGATGAATTCATATCAAGCAATTTGGCAGAACTCTGATAAAGTTTTATGCGCAATGAATTTAATTTATGAATCTGTGGAGAGGCAGATTCCTCTTTAGGTGGTGGCCTGGGATATCAGGTAAGCCTCTGCTCTGGTTTGAATAATTAAATGAAAGTTATGGCAAGAGAGGTCAAGGCAATTTTATATAGATAACTAAATATTCATCAGTTTGACCCTAAAACCATGCAATGATTAATTGCATCCCTGATGTGATCAGAATTTAAATACAGTTTCAAAACCATGAACTCACTGAGCTGAGACATCCAAAATTAGCAATTTGTGCTTAATGCATGAAATATGCAGTCCGCGCTGCAGCTTTGCGTTGACCAGGTCATTCTGCTTCTGCATGTTTCCTACCAGGATGTCCTTCGAGGGAGGGGGGTTCAAATGATATTAGATACAAGCGTCTTTCGTTCTATTTACAAATTTTTGCAAAAAAGGATAAGGTGAAATATTCATTTTAGTTCATTTTTGTAGTGCTTTTCACAATACATATGCCAAAGCAGCTTTACTAAGAAACCAAAGCAGCTTTACAGAGAAAACCCAAGCAGCTTTATAGAGAAAGTGCATAAATGGAGCAAAGGAACAAAACTATACACAACTTACAGGCATGCTAAGCTGAGAATGAATGCCTTTGAATGACACGGGTGAGTAAATGATGACAGAATTATCATTTTTGGGTGAAATGTCTCTTTTAGTATTCTACTCACCGTCTGTTCCGAACCAGTATTATATGAACACTTGAGACTGACCCAGTTTGCAGACCTGTGTGTTGTGTAAGGTTGGTGTGAGTTGTGTTCAGTCCTCATTAATCACTTCTGGTTCTCTCAGGGCTTTGTGTCATCATCACACACTCACCTGCTCCATCCATCCACATTTCAATATGCCATCACTTGCATGCAAATTTCTAAAGTCTGCCCTGTAAAATGATTAATATTACTTAATACGAACCTGTGCACATTGTGAGTAAATACATTTGGAGATTGCAGTATCTTAAGAGTAAGGTCAGATGGTTTTGTTTATTTGGGTTTTGTTATTCCAAACATTGTAATCAAACAGTACATAAATCAAATATACAACGTTGGAAATTACATTCATACATCATCATGACAAACTCTGAATATTCATCATAATGAATAAGGCTGTGAAGTATCCGTACACCAGTTTGAAAAACAGGTGAAAAGAATCACATTTTCCCCACAGCTTCTTACGGCCAGCAGCCACAAGTGATTTATTTCTCACATGCTTGCTAGTTGAAAACTCCAGTGTTTCTTTTTCTTAGCTTTCCAAATCAATTAGTAGATCAAAAGACTAATTCAATCCTTGAGGAGCTGTGCTTAGACAGATATTCCCTAGGAGCCCCGAGGAACTCATCCATAAAACATTGAAGTCAGTTGTGTCATTCACGTCTCCGCTGTTACACACCGGCTAGCCACCCCAACCATTCTGATCACGTTGCTGCAAGTCAGCCCTCTTAGTGTTTACTTTTGAGGTAATTAAACTGCATTTGATGGATAACCTTGTTAAAGTGAGAAGTTTAGGTAATGATAATCCAATTAGATGTTTTTATCTACTGGAAATAATTCAAATACAGTCTAAATTGCAACACAAGCTGCTGATGTTGACATAGGCCTACCAAGAAAACATTTTGTGTGATATTTTGACAGATTTCAGAAGTCATGATTTCACTACTCACAAGAGCTTGACTGAAAACAAGCGAGAATTGTCCATTTTAAATGCCCTACATAATGGCATTTGGCAGAGACAATTTGTTGTTTTAATGATGAGAACCAAGGCTCTGTGTAATAACTTAAGGACAATTGGACGGCATCTGTTGTTATGGAGGAGGCTTATCTCAGAGGCTTGAGAAATCTCTCAGAGACGGTGTGATTTCCCATTATGTTTCGTTGTTTAGCACCAGCGAAGTGCAAACTCTGTTTAACACTCTTCAGACACACTGACTGCCCTCATGGGGAGAAAAAGGCATTAGAAATGACTCCTCAGCTTATGAAAAATATTTATCTGTCTGAGAAGTTTCTGAATTACTCCCCAAGCACCATAAAGTTTCATATTCCAGTATGAAAAAGTACTGTCAAGTGTGACAATTCCTTTTTATACAGTACAGTGTTTCTGTTTTTTTTTTTTCCCTAATGCTCAGCACAGCTTAAACATGTACTCAAATACTTGCCTGCATATTAAAGTACTTTTAATAAAGTTAAAACCTAATTCAGATATGGACAGCATTTCCAAACATTGATAAATTCCATGTAAAGTCTACTCTAATACCCTAAAATTAGATATGTCAATCTAACCCAAATTAATCTCTTGCAGTTTACTAGCAAGCAATAATGCACATATTTGTCACACACAGAAGGGAACAGACGGATGGTAAGATGAAATGGTTTATTTAAGTAAAAGCAGAGTGCTGGGACAACAGCGGGAACCAGACGAAGGTAAAAGGATGGTGACTTGATAGGTGATGAATACAGCTGGCGATGACTAAAGTGGAAACTCTGTGCAGGTGAAGGATGAACAGAGATCTGGATCAGGATCAGGATGACAGACAGAAGACAGGATACTTGACGATCTCAGGAGAGTGTTCAGGTAAGGAGTCTGACTGTTTACGTAGCCGTACCATTGACAAGACCAGACCCTGATGTGAGGGTGATGCAGGTTGATATGCTGTGATGATGGAGTGCAGGTGCAGGGAATCAGTACTGGTGATTGGTGATGATCTGCAGCAGGTGTGGCGATGGCTGACTGAGTGCAGGTGGGGACCAGGAGGGATGCTGGGAAGTGTAGTGCAGACAGGTTACAGAGTTGGTGAGTGAGCTGGTGACTGTGACAATATTATTCTGAAACTATTTTAACAAATGCAATGTGTAACATTAACACAAGGAGCACAAGGAGGAAGAGACTGGCCACAATGACAATTGTTGGTGCAACATTAATTGCTTTTTGAGAATATCTAAGCACAGCAAGCTTCACTCTTCACCACAAGGGTAAAGCCCAAACCTTCAACATAACAGATACTCTTAAATCCTTTTCTCATCTTAATCAAAAATAGCACTTATTTTCAATATTTACACATCTAAATCATGCTGGGAACTGGAAATTACCTTCCTGGTTTCAACAATGCATTAACACAGATGAAAATTATTCATACATATATGGATTATTGAATCTTCATATATCAAATCTAAATGCACTGCATGAAACTAAAGTTGCAACTGAAAGTAGTTTACTTTTTAGTGACAAATAAGACTCACTGGGACCAAGTCTGGCCTGGGTCATGTCCTGATTCCATTCCCCCTCTCTATACCCCATTTTCCAGCATATCCTTATTGTCCTAAAGTTCTAAAAACAATTGAGAAAGCAATATAAATCATTTTCTGAGTGAAAGTTTCAGCACAATATCTGATTTTTGCTCACTGTTAAGTTGTTCACAGAAGACATCCAGTAAAGATATTGGCTAGATGATTTGTTGATGAGTTGATTAGATTTTTCTGTATCCTTGCACTCCAGGATATCTGTCAGGTAAGACCTCACCACTCTTCAGGACAACTAAAGCGGGGGAAAGTATTATAAATGCAAATTCCCAGTAAGAGCCCTGAATCTATGTTGAAAGGTCCTCTGCAGGAGATAATTACACCCTGCTTTGATTACGTTCAAAAGACAAGATTGCCGTAAAACTCATAAATAATTCAAAGCAACAAAAACACCAAGGTGTTTTTATTTATTTATTTTTTGTCCTAGGGTGAGGCCATCACTACTTTCATTCCAGATGTTAGACTCAATAACATGTACTCAAGTCAGTTGCTTCTTTTCCAGACTTTAGGGGTAAGTACACTTCTTGACACGTATCTATAATTCATAACAAAAAAAAAATTGAAGTGTTGTTTAACACTCTTAGGGTAAAAACGTTTTACTTACACTAAAGCATGATTCATGAGCATGTGTGAAGTGCTTATTATGATTTTTTTTTTTATGTTTCAGGTTCTATTTTTGCATGCATGCAAGTGAGAACTTGTTGATAGCATTATCCAAACTAAAACCTAATTTGAATTGCTATTTCTGACTATCAATTTTGATTGGACTAAACTTTGAAGTCACTGCAAAATGACCATACATGTAATCCATGAATACATATCACTATACACATGTGTGACTGCCCCTGCTAAATGTTCTGGGTCAGTAAGATCATAGACAGCATGTTGCATAATGTTTATTACACAATGGAAAAAAAAATAGACTTCACACAGCAAAAATCAGGGATTTAAAGATAGCAAGAAAGATAAAGACCTTCCCAACATTCTGAAAAAACGTACATTATTTGACGTGCAAGAACGTGTTGTGTGAATGGACACACAACATTTAAAAGATGCAAGATGGAAAAAGTAGTGTGACGATTAAATGCATATGCATATTTTTGTGGTCGCACTCCTGTTTTATTTGGATTAACTTCTATTTATTTGTAAAGAATGTAATATCAGTGGCTGTTGCCAGTATCAGCGAAGATGTGATGTTACACACCTGATGTCAGGTATTATAGAGACAGCAGACGCACAATTGATTGGAGACTTCATTGCTGGTGGCCCAGTATAGTGCACAACTCTAGTAAATTTAACATAAATAAGTTAACAACACAGTGGAATTTTTCAATTCAACAAAAATTGATTCCAGTCCAGATCATTTCCCATAGTAAAGAAAAAAATATACATAATAACCGAAAAAAGGTTTAGGCTGAAGCCTATGCTTATTATGCCTACCCTTTATACATAATTATTTAATGAGAGTCACTTTTCTCTAATTTTATTCATACAAAATAAACAAACAGTTCAAATTTCCTAAATGTATACATGATTACAAAGGTACACATATCAAATATTATTACAATAGTTTACATATGACCAGAGGTGGGTAGAGTATCCAAAAACTGTACTCAAGTAAAAGTACAAGTACTTATAGAAATATTTACTCAAAGTAAAAGTAAAAGTAATAATCTTAAAAGTTACTTGAGTAAGAGTAAAAAAGTATCCAATGAAAAAACTACTCAAGTAGTTAGTTACTAGTTACTTTACACATAGGCATATATATATATATATATATATATATATATATATATATATACTGTATATGTAACATGATATTATTTAGATTTTTTTTTTCATTTAAATGACTATTATTATCATAATTAGATAAGCTATCTTTGCAACAAAAACAGAAGAGACAAACATTATTTCTGTATATCTATAGCCTGAAAACCATTGGCTGTCCTTTGGTTTGTATAATAGTATAGTAACTTATACAACTACATTTGGATTATTAGACAATGTCGGAATAAAGTGACTCTATGGAGTTTTGCATTCAAGGGATGGGAACCATTGACAGATTAGAAAGTGTTAAAACTCTGCACATGTGCTCGCAGTCATGTCATGCCCAACATAAACAACGATCAAATGCACGGATCTTCTTCTGTCTGTTCTCCAAAATGTATTTAAATGTAGGCTATATTTATGAAAGCATCTTTAAACTGGTTAACTGAGTCTAATAAGGCAGGCAAAGGCATTCGTTTTCAAGTCGAGTTCGCACGCCACTGCGCAATACCGACACTACAACACCGAGAATACATTGTGTGTGTACACACATTCATAAACTGGACGATGATAGCTTATTTAATGTATAAAGTAATGTATATGTCCAAAAAAAGGGTAATGCCATACTTTGTAGTAGTGCTATATGGCGTAATAATGTGTTTGGTTGTAAAATGTATTACCTGAATGAAATCGAATGTATCGTCGTGTGGAATAATTCATTCACAGACAGCTTACGAAGTATACGAAGATGTTCAAGTTCAACTAATAAAGATCTTCATCGCTGGCAAAAAATATGATGCATTTGCAGATTTACTTTCTAGACTGTACTGTAGACTATGGACCGCCACACAATGTTCTTGATGTTCTTAAAGGGGTCATATAATGGTACATGCACTTTTTTAAGTTGATTGTACTGAAATGTGTGTTGGCAGTGCCTGTACACAACCATCATATAATGATAAAAATCCATCCAGTGGTTTTGTTTTAATCTCCTTATATGTTTTCCCCTGCCTCAAATCGAGCCGTTCGACCGTGTGACGTCACAAGCTCGCACGCCCCTCCCACGATTGTTGATTGATAGGCGCGTTTCAACACAGACCCGCCCTCGCTCGTGAGAGCTGTCAATCATAGTCTGCGCGGACCGGCGCGGTCATTGTTGATATGCTGGAGCACTGTCTATGAGCAGAATGGCGTCTAAGCGATTGTGGTGTTCTGTTCTTGGGTGTAATAACGAACACAGCAGTCATTTTAATGTTCCTAAATCCGAACCGCTGAAGACGCAGTGGCTGAGTTTGTTTTCGAAGGGAATATTCCCCACGACCAACGTCAATGCTCTCATGTGTGCGCGAATCATTTCTCACCAGACTGCTTTATAAACGAGGATCAGTATAAAGCTGGTTTTGCTAAGCAGCTGCTCCTGAATAAAGAATCGGTACCAGATATTCGTATTCCTGCTGAACCTCTAGAACAACTGAAGTGAGTGTAACGTTTTATTAAACTTTATATTAATATTTATCTTTGCAAATCGCTTCACGATGAATGAGTCTAAGGTTTACACTCAGGGTACATTACTGCATGTTTTCTATGTACGACGTTCTCCATATAATTCATAATCCCACGTTTATAATGAACAACACGTTATGGTATTGTGTTACAAACGTGTACGCATAAAACAGAGAGGCGGAGTCAGCAAAGCTCATGATCATTTAAAGTCATATGCACTGAAACGGCGTGCTGAAAACAGAGCTGTTTTTGACCAGGTAAAATAAGTGTTTTCTTACAATACTAATGAGAATTTTTAATTAAAGTATATTACAAACTTTTAATTTAGTCCCTAAAGAATCATATTAGCTTGTACAAAAATGGCATTATATGACCCCTTTAAATCTTCCTGTTACGACTCCGAGACGATTCAGTGCGTGAGGAAACTGAGCAGATCATTCAAACTGATTCGCGAACCGATTTAGACAGATCTGCCCAACTTGTTTGATGAAGTCTTTGAACAGAATCGACTCAAAAGAGTGATTCATTTGTGAATTGAGCATCGCTCATGCCCAGAAAAAAGAGAGAGCGCGCGCTTAGAATAAACTACGCTTTTAACAACATATTGCATTAAAATAAAGTAACGAGAGGAACGTCGCCAAACGTAACGAAGTAAAAGTACAGTTTTTTCATTAGAAATCTACTCGAGTTAAAGTAAAAGTACCCACAATTAAATCTACTCTTAAAAGTACAAATTTTCCAAAAAAATACTCAAGTAAATGTAACGAAGTAAATGTACTTCGTTACTACCCACCTCTGCATATGACACACAAATTATTCATATTGAGTTATATAATTATTTATCACCTTGTTTTTAAACATGTTCCTGAATTTACAGAGTAAAGTACACAATTTTAATTCCTTCTAATCACAATTAATCCATAGGTTTTTCCATAATTATTCCATTATTTTTTGTATTAGTTCTTGCCCTTACTTTTTTTTAAAGGAATCAAGCCACAACACATGGGAATCAAGCCACAATACAATGGAAGCAAGCCACAACACGACGGAAATAGTTTTTGCTTTACACATGTCCTTTGACAGCACTAACTAATGAACATGAACTAAGGTTAATAAGGTACTTCATGTATTTAATAAGAGAAAAAAAGAACATTATACAAAATACAAAAGAGTTTAGAGAAGAATGTAGTAATGAAAAGATTTTTTTTATTTATTATTCATTGTCAAGGAAAGACAAACTTGCCAGTGAGAACGTATACATACATAATGCATAACACCAAACGTGTTTTCACTATGCTGTGAACAAACCGTTTATGAATACAATCGGAAAAAATCATCAAATAAATAAATCAGTTTTATTCTTCTGGTTTAGCGAGGGCCTTGTTGAAATGCAAATTTTAGCCTGAATTCATGTGATTCAGTGTGTACCTCTGTAAAACTGGGGCTCCTGCTGATGAGCTTGTTTGTCTTGTGCATTCATTTTCCACTAATTGCAGTAATTTGTACCGTTTACTAATTGTTAATTATTAATTATTAACAAGATTCATTCTCTCCTTTCCTCTGTTTCCACTTGGTTAAATACATCTCAGTCTCTCTATCTCTCACATCATTGAAAAACATGGTGGGTGGTTCAGTGGTGAATTACGCATTCCAGACTATTGATTGGGGTCATGTGATATGGCCTCTGAGTGTGTCAAGCTCCTTTATCAGTTGTAACTGTCCTTATTGATTCGGATACCGAGTGTGTGGGATGGAGCCAATCACAGAGAGAACTTTGCGGAAGTGACCCTTGAAGCAAATATCTAACTATAAAACCTCTGACCTTTTCCCACATGCATATTTTATACCAGCCCAATTGTCTTCGGTTAACACGGATCAACCATGCATGGTGGATATTATATTATGGCAGAGTACGATGTCATGATATTTCCTCCCGCA